CATAGACTTGCAATTAATCAAAGCTTCTCTTGCTTTCCCAATCCTTGCTTTGATATCCTCGTCAGTTCCTCCTGTAGTTGAAAAGATGCTTCCCAGGTAGGTGAAGGAGGCTGTTTCTTTCAGGTTCATCCCACTTGTGCTGGTTGTTGTTGCCCAGGAGTCGTCATCACCTCTGTTTTCTCTATGTTCACCTGAAGTCCTATCTTCTCTGGACGCTTCTTCTGCCAACTTGTTGTATTTCACTTGCATATCTTCCAGTTTGTGGGAACTCAGACATATATCATCGACGAGGTCCAGGTCCTCCAAATCACAACAGGAAGGGAAACAAGCGACAACAACAATAAAAAAAACCTTAGCAGTACGGATACAGTTATCAAAAATGATACCAAAATCATAGACTCACTGACTTGAGCCAACCTGAACATGTAAATCCATCAATATATACAATTTATGGATATTAGTTAGTGTTAGACAGTTACAAAATGGCAAGCACATAATTATAAGTATTATAGGTCAACAAGATTATATCCACAGATTGAGTGTTTGAAAGTCAAATAATTACAATAATTTCCGAAACTTCTTGGCAAGAAATTCCACAGAAATAAGAGATTTAAGTAACCACGTGTATGTAGCGTAGTAATCGAAAAGCGCGTCAGACTAACAGATGATAAAATTCAGTCCGGAATAACATGGATCTATTTTACTTCTTCGATTCTATTTAGATGTCATACAACCTGTAGCCTTTTTCTAAACAAACACGTTATAATATAATTGTAAAATACCTTTGTTATTAGACAGTGTGAATCATGCCACCGGTAGGCAATGTTGTACAATTGACTGTATGAGTTTTAACATGCACCTTTGTGATATGTACCCACATCATGTGTTTTTTATTTTTGACAGTCTATTATATTTTGCTATGTATATATAGATCTGTATTTCATTATAACTGAAAAAATGCTTTCGTCTGTCCACTAACTAAATAAAAATGTATGACCTTGTTGTCATATGACATTACAACCAATCATGGTAAGACTGTCATCTATTGGATCATGTGTATTAGCCATTTTCATATATACTTTTGTATTAGACACTTGTTAATTCTTGTTCTCACGTTCGTACATTCGTACTTATTCACTCACACTCTTGTGTGACATTTATTTTCCATGTCTGGAAAATACAAGTATCATCGTGAACCTGGTGGTCTTCTGATTTCCCTCTTTCCGCGTCAGGACTATTAACTACTCGACGAGTACATAACATAATTGGCGACGGGGAAAACTTTAATAACTCACTCAGCAACAGTACATAACACTTTGCACGTAAGTTATCCCATTCCATATATATCACGCAAAGTAGATAAAAAAGAAGAACTCAAAAAATGTACAAAAGTATGTTGAAGAAAGAGTAGTAACATGAAAAAAAACGCGACAGAGATTATGCAGAGTGAAATTCATCTGATTTATCGAGAACGAATTTGAGCCATTTATCGAATACTCTTCAGTCAGTGGCTCTTAGTATTCCAAGGTTCCAACCAGATAGTCTTTATAATAATTTTTCCTCCACGTCCCAGTGAAACGTAGAGCTTCAAGCTAGAGACTTGAGGTTTCTGCAGCAGTGTTTATTTTACAGGATGGGGTTGCTAGCCTCATGCCCAACCTCCCCTCTTTACCAGCCATATTACTGCCTTAGCGAGGTGAAGGAGTGCGTCGGCCGGGGATCGAATCCCGGACCATGTGCATGGTTGACGAGCGTCCCAACCTCTGTGCCACCGACGCAAATCAGATATTCAACATATACTTAACCGATTGAAATCAACAAGCACAGACTTCATGGACGAATGCCCCCTCTCTCTCTCTCCAACCCGACTTATTCCAAAATAACGAGACAAACGAGATTCTGTTGTATTCATTTCACTTTTATCTCATTTCCTGCGTTCTAAGGGGAACATGTGTGACCTCAAGTTTTTAGTTTATATTATCCACGGAGTAAGGTTCCTAGCTTCACTTTGAATATCTCCTTTTTTCTTCGCTTATTATCAGCTAGGTGAAGAACATAGTTGCGCTTTGGTTGGATCTCGAACCCAGAGTTCCGTGTGTTTTATGAACATTCTACGATGGTTGTACGAGTTTTCAATGAAATGGGTTTGTAATTTCCACGTTTTCATCGATTAGGAATTAGTGTAATTCAAGAACACAATATTCAGTGAAGAGACTCGTTTCAACGAAGCTCTATTCTGGCACACCTGATCGAACTGAGCATTCGTCTTTTTGAAAAATGCCAAAGCGTTGTTCACTAAGCCAATGAGTGAGTCACTAGAACCATCTTCTGTGCAACGAGTGTCAGTTATTATTTCCCTAGGATATTTGGTACTTTCTTGATCCCATTACTAGCCATATTGAAGAAATAGCTCATCGTCAAGGCGTTCGTACCAGGAGTCAAAATAATAACACTGTTGGATTACGAGTTAACATCAGTTAGAGATGCACTGGAAATCAACACTGAAGTACTGGGATTCGTCATTAGGATGAACTCATTACCATTCAAACCCATGACATTTCGGTTATAAGGCGAGCTGGTAAACATTCAGCCATTGGGAACCAATGCAGTGTTTCATGAGTTCCAACTTCTGCCAGTTCATGATATATAGAGGGATACCTTCAGACAATTCCATAGACTGCTGAGTGACTTCTTACCTGACTTGGTGGACCCGACTGTTTACGACTTCTCACTAGAACTTAGGGCAACTTCATTTTACAATCAATCACTAGTGAATACTAAATTAATTTATGTGTAAAAGTTGGGCACTGTGGTAGTAAGTAAGTAATTGAAAAGGGGGGTTTCCATTGCTAGACTGCAGCGTAAAAAGGAAAGGAGATGGGAAGTTAAACACTAGTGTATAGAGGAAACCCACACATCCAAACAGATATTTGAACTTCCGATCATCCCATCCTATGTCAGTGAAAATAGGATTGGTGAAATGTTCAAGTGACAGAGCACAAAAACTAAGACGTACCAAGAAAAATCTAAGACAGCAAGTGAGCCACATAAGAGAAGCCTTGAAACTTAATAATTACCCGGATAAATTAGTCAGAAAGTAACTAGGATAATGTAAAAGTAAAATGTATAGTGGTAGTAGTGATGGTGGTAGTAATAATAATAGTAATATTAATGACGACATGCATGTCAAACATGAGCAGGATAATAAAAACACCTACAATAAGGAATCTCAATCATCACTTGTAATTGCATACAAGGAAGGAACCTTGGAAATCACTTGACGCAGAATGCTTAACAAAGCAGGAATAAAAGTGACTGGCATTCAAACCAACCACACACTCAATTAGAAACAAGCTTTTTCGGATAAAAGATCCTTCCAGTGAAGCCTTTAAAATAAAACAATTTAGTTTATCTAGTACCCTACGGGAATGATTGTCAGGTCAAATACATAGGTCAAACTAGTAAAACAGGGTCAGTCAGACTAACGGAGCATAAAAACCCAGCAAAATCTAGATTGGTTGACCCAAATAAGATAAGAAATCTGGAGAATAGATCAGCTCTAGCACTCACGACATGTAATTACAAAACAGTCAAACAATAGGATAGGATAAGTTGACAGTTTTAAAATCTAATGTCACAGGGTGGAGGGAGAGATTGATAACAGAAGCTTTGTTTGTCGAATCAACTGCAAATACATGTAACAGGAATGCTTCATCACCTGTCCCTAATATCTGGAAAATTCTACTACCCATAAGACGACAAATAAGAGAAGACAAAGAAAACTATAAAACTCAAGTTTCGATATTGTGCGATTATAAATGGTGAAATGATTATGAACGATAAATTTTGTTCGGAACGTCATCCAGTAAATAATACTGTTTCACTGTGTTATACATCTAATAAGCAAACTAATATGGAATTAATAAATTGATTCTCAAGTTTGCTCGTTTACAGAGATTTGATGGGGCGTAAGTGTGATCAGGATATGACTTCGGCGAATTCATGATCATTGAGGTCAATGAGATTGGTTGTGTCAACAGATGTCTGTCGATGATGTTGGTAAGCAGTCTCTCTGTATATACAGAATTACTAGAAGTTAGAATCGATAGCCAGGCCACTGAATTCAATCTTATTGACTCCCCTTGCGAGTTAACGTTTGAGTACTAGCGACGAGTTCGAAACCAAGTCGAAAAAGCTTTTCGGCACTCCCTGCTGTTTTTTAACGGTCCTCTTACTGAAATCAATCTGTTATCACACTTCTAAACAATCAAATCTTTGCAAGCCAACATTTAAAGATTTGGGCCGATGTATAACTGAGAATTTAACAGGCGTCTATCGTTGTTATTATTATGATTTTTCAAGAGTTGGTTTCTAAGGATAAGATTTGTTCTTACGAGTTTGACGAGTTTGGATTAATATTATTTAGAGAACCATTGAAAACCAAGAAGTATTGGACAGCTGTTTCATAATAAGTTTGAGAATCATCTGCAGTACGCACCCACTACCAGTGTCCAAACCTAGTACCTTTTGGTTACAAGGCAAGCTGGCTCGTAGACCATTCAGTCACTGGGACCGAATTCAGTGGCCAGCCCATGAATTCTAACTTCTACCAAATCGTGATTGAGCGTGCCCGCCAACCAAGGTCGTCGGTGGGAAATCCATCCTCACACTTGCCTTTTAAACAGGAAGGTCCTGGGTTCGAACCCTAGCAGTGGGTGCCTACTGCCAAAGATACCTAAGCTAGTATGAAACGGCTGTTCAGTGCTTCCTAGTTTTCAACGCTTCTCTACTATTATTATTATTATTATTATGTTAATTGAAACAGTAATGAAATTAACCAATCAGAGGACAGTATACGGATTTCTGAATATGTATAAATGTACATATTTGTTTGTGTGTATTTACCTACCCCCTCTCCTCACATACAGACGCATATTCAACCAAATAAATAAACACATATATATGCATAGATGTAACTGATTATACATGGGAAATGACATCTTCGCATGTCAGTAATTACAAGAAAACAAGAAAAGTATTAACTATTAATAAATGAATGATACTTTTTTATACTTATAACTCTTTTTTTTAATTAGAAATTATATATTATTACTTTCGAATGCGAAACACATTTGAATTTGTCAAATGTCTCATGTCTGTGTGTGTTTACCTCCGAGTAAGACAGACACACAACTATACTAACATGCATAATGCTGCGTTAGTCCACACACACACACACGCACATACAACAATTCATACAAACAGACACACACACATTTTTTTACCGTATACATGTGAATATCATGAATACAAATCCATACTAACTTTTACATGATATTTCCCGCTGATGTAACAGACTGGTAGAACAACTAAATGAGGATAAGAGCAGATATAATTTGTCAATTTTGGTTTTTACTAAATCTCTATTCACCATAATTATAAAAATACTATCACCAAAACGGATTATTAATAATTTTAATGGAATAATCTTGTGAAAAATGAGCGGAAATTATTGTGTATTTACAGTGCATATATATATATATATATATATATATATATATATATATATGTGGAAATAAAATTTGAATGCTTTAATAAATAAATGAAGAAATAAACAAAGAATTGGCGGAAATACAAAAAAATCGTGTTTAATTTGTAATTTTACCTAAAAATAGCAATAATTAATAAAAAAAACAAAGACGTAAGCTTGGATAATTCACTAAACAAAATACAAAAAAACACAACAAAAAATAAAATGAGGGTGGTGCGAAGGTTAGTGTAAACACACGGGAACAAAAATGGTAAGTCAAGAATGTTTTGATTTGGTTGAATTACGTAACATACATGTATATTAGTTGGAGGACTTTATCATTAGCCTAAATCGGTTGTTAGAGAACCATTGGAAAAGCACCACGAGGTACTAGACAGCTGTTTCCTCCTAGTTTGGGACTCGTCATCAGTACACACCCACTACAGGGGGTTTGAATCCAGAACCTTCTGGTTACAAGGCGAACCACCTCGTGAACCATTAAACCACTGAGACCTAATCCAGTGTCCAGCTCATGAATTCTAATTACTACCAATTGACGACATAGAGCCACCACTTCGCAATGTCTTTTTCGATGAGTTACTACTTCACCTACTGGTCAAACAAAATCCCTACAACACTTAGACATGTATATATCAATGAATATTTGAGCAATATAGATGTTAGATCATTAGAATGATTCAAAAGGTGGTTCATGAGAAGAAACACTTTTCGTTTCAACGAAACCATCAACGAAGTAGCTCTACATTCATGAAACAAACGGCGATGGGTGGGTGGTAAAGTTACAGAATTATTTCTAGTCAAAAGTCAAATTATAACGAATAATCACGAAGAAAATTATGTAATACAATTCGGGAGTCTATTTTTCATTTTTATTCCTGTATTTTCTTAGTGGAATAGAGGGGGCTACAAGCTAGTGGTTTGAAGTTTCGATAGCTGAGTTGTTTATTTTCACAGTATGGGGTTGCTAGCCTTATGCCCAATCTTGCCTCTTTACTAGTCTTAATGCTGTCTTGGCTAGGTAAAGTAGTAGGTTGGCCGGAAATAGAACGCCAGATCACATGAGACGTGGTTGATGAGCATTCTACCACTGTGCCAATGACTCAATGTAAATAGGGATTGAAAACGTAATAATAAGCAAAAACGTGGGTCAAATTTATTTGGGATAATTGACAATTTATAATGGCTACAATAAGGACAGTAGTAATAACATTAATACTAATAATAATAACAATGATAACTGTACTCTGAACAGTGTTTATGTAATGTACAGAATTTTCAGCACAGTTTATTGCACGATATTTTCTCTTCGTCAAGGATTTTTGAATAAAATATTTGACTGACAGCAGATTGTGTGACACAATGAAGCATAACCTAATCTACTATGATATCTCTTCTTAATTCTCCTTCAAGAAATGCACAACATTTAGTTGAATGTCAATTTTCAAAATCTTAAGAGCACCTTTTAAGAATCAAGGAAGGATACACACATCAGGGACAGTTATCTCATATTATTGGGATACGTTGTCACCCAGTAGAAACTTGTGAATCAGCAGGATGTAAATGTTTTAAATACTCACCCGAGGTCATATTTCACCAGATTTAAGCAAAATAAAGGAGAAGAAGAATTATGTGAAATTATATTGATTGAGGTTTTCAGTTTCACAAGTATTAAACACACCGCCTAGGTCAATAGTGTTGCCCTGAATTTTTGTATTTCTAATGCGTCAGCTGTACCGTGATGCCTTGATATCAATTCCTTTGAATAGGGGTTTTTGATAAAATCCTGTTTGGGACATTGAAAGATTTTTCAAATAGAGCTTGGTGTCTTGAGTTTCCAAGATGTTTTGCTACTGAGTTATAAACACACCTAAATTCTCCCTTTCACAGCCGGATTGGATAGTGCTCCCCGTTTCCAGTGGTTGTTTTTACCATTGGCATTGGATAAAGTCGATTTTTCTCTCAAAAACTGTGATCCACCTTTGTTTTGTCTTTTATTTGAACTTATTCGTTGTCATTTGGCTTTTGACAGGAAATAATTCTGGAACTCTCCCAGCCTTTTTGTTATTGTATTTCCGTGAGTATACAACCACTTAGTTGATGACTGCGTTGTTATGAAAAGTGTTTATTCTCTAGAACTGCTTTCTATTTTTAAATTTCCCCCCCCCCACCACCGCCACCACAGATATTTGTCTCAGTAACTTCTGCACTATACCCCGCGTACTCATTGAGCGTCATCAGTGCAACAAATTGCTCACAAGATTTCAGTATTTCATATATCTTCAAAGTATATTCACCAAACAAGAAGCATCTCTTTGAATGGACGGATATTTTATTTTTCCAGTAGGCTTTTTAGGCTCTACAACTCTAAAACCATTCAATATTAGAAACAAATCAAAGGGCAGTAAAGGCAAAAATAAGAATTATGTAAAAAACGGGAGGATTGGGGCACAAAATCTAAGAAGATGGAAAGAAATGAGTTCATCGTCAACTGAATGTAGAAGAAAAATGTGCAGTCCTTTAGCAAGTTGGCAAAAATTTCGTTGTTGTTGATAGTGTTCTTTCTTGTTGGTTTCTGAGTTGAACAAAAAGCTTCAACAGAACACCTCCATTTTGTCCTATTCTCTATGGTTATCTTCAATTGGCACCACGATCGCCCAGTACTATCTCCTCCACATCGACGTCACCCTGACACCCGACTTTTTATTTCCTCTTCGAGCTTCCATCGAGTGTGAGCATGACACGCTATGTCATTCGGCGGTCTACTTAGTGTGTTATCTGATACCTCTCCATTTTCATCGATAGACTTGTTGAGCGACAGATTTTTGATTAGTTTATCCCACGACTTTCTTGTAGCTAATTTTTTGTGACTGGTCGTCTAATCGTCAGTATAGAGATAGCGAAGGCAGCTGTTGATAAAAGTGAGCACCACCCTGTTCGAAATGCTTTTCATGATGTTCAACCATATTTCTGACTAGTATAGTGGCACTGATTGACTTAACATTGGTACTGAAAGTTCGAATTTTCTTCCTTATGCCGATTTCAGATTGATGAAGGTCTATCTGTCTCGCTCTTCCGATTCTGGTTTTTGCATCCTTATCCGTGCTGCAAAAATATAAACACCATTTTATTTCAGAATAGACCAAGGATTGATAACAGTTAGAGAATCATTAAAAATCAGAGAAGACTGGATAGCTGTTTCAGTCGTCCTACTTTGAAACTCATCGGTTGCTAGGGTTCGAATCCAGGACCTTCCGGTTCCAGGCAAGCGCGTAAACCATTCAGCCACTGAGACCCAATTCAATGGCCTCGACATTAATTCTAACTTCTACTAGTTCTTGGGGTATTTAGCGCTACCACCAACCAATGTCATCGATGGGAAATCCATCCTCGCATTTAACTGGATGGTCCTGATCGGTCATGATTTCTTACCAGAATTCCAGGCAACTCCGTAAGGTCCTGGGTTCGGACCCTGTCAGTAGGTGTGTATTACCAATGAATCTCAAACTAGGATGTAACAGCTGTCCAGTACTCCCTGGTGGTTTTCAATGGTTCTCTAAATGTAGCATCCCTACAGATTAATTCTTGAAAGCATTATTTTATCATGACACTTATTACTTATCATCCTTCGAGTTCACATTCAGTGTGCGCCATTTGTCCGTTTTAAGTTTTGTAATGCTCCTGTTCTTGATTATAAATACAATCATAGTGTCACTTAACCGCTCATTCACAGACTATTTTATGTTCTTAATCATTGTGGAATTTATATGCATTCAGTTGACAATCCTAACCAACGGACAGTTTATTCCATCTTCTTATACTTGTATAACAGTACTATCGTTTCTCATTTAATTTTGATTTTGCCTTAATTGTTCTATAGTATCCTAAGATTCATTGATTTTAGAGCTATATAGCCTGTAGACGTTATTGAAACCAAAAACATCAGCTCAAAAATACTTTCCTGTCTAGCGAATATACTACTGGAATACCCAAATATATACACATATATGACTCTCTAAATGATGTCAGATATTGATCAAACCTGCAACCAATCAAACACCTTCAAAATGACATTCGATAATTAATCTTATGCCCACCAATGACTGGCTGTATGTAGGAAGTTACGTGAAGTTCTAGTGAGAAGTCGCAACAAGCTGGGTCGAACAAGTCAGGTAAGAGATCAGTTAGTCCCCTATGACACTGACTAGCGGCTACACTATACAATATGTCACGAATCGGCAGAAGTTGGATTTCATGGGCTGGTCACTTAGACAGGTCCCAATGACTGAATGGTCCCAGGTTCGAACCCCAGTGAGTGTGCGCTACTAAAGAGCCCTAAACTAGGATGAAACAGTTATTGAATGTTTCTTGGTTTTTGATGGTTTTCTATCTGATATCAATCCATGGTGAAACTCGGAATAATTCAAACCTCTGCAGACTAACTCTTGGAATTACGGGTATATATTAGACTAGTTAGAGGTGTTATGTCATCTGAAATGGATGCATAGTTTAATTTCCAAGGTTTTATTGTTCATCTAGGCCACATTTTCACTAATAAACTGGATAAGTTGTCTCATTGCTTTTATGAAATATGCTTTTTTAAGTTTTCGTAAAAAGACAACATTTACTGGTAGAAGTGTTACTGTCCACATGAGGAATTTCCTCAGCACCTACACTGTATTAAATACTGCTTGTTTTACTAGACAGTGGAAGAAATGTTGTACTGGCATTCAATACAGGACCTGTTGTGTTTTTCTTTGGATTTCTATTGAGTTCATTTTGTTGACATTAATTTATATTAGACACTCATTTTAAATCAATCAGTATATTAACCAATGCCCTACAAATATTATCATTAATATCAATATTGCGATCATTATAGCACAATAAAATGAAATACAAAATCCCCTACAAAAAATCGCTTTCCTTGTCGATCTGTGTAAGTTGACATAAAATTAAGCTGCAGGAAGTTGGATGTATTCAATTTAAAAAATGCTTTCAATCCATGAAGTCGCAGACTGTTGGTTTGAACTACACAAGTAGGTGTAGAGTATTAGGTAGTTGAAGGGAATCGGCAGGAAGCCTTAGACATAGTTTTCGTGCAAGTTAGCACTCATCAGCCAGCAAGGCGTATCTGCAACCTTGAAGGAAATCATGTCCCTTCTGAGATTCAAATCCCCGTCATCCAGTACTGCAGTCAGAGATGTTATCACTGAGCTATTCGGGCTGGCTCGCGATTGACCTGCTGTAGGG